AAGAAGCGCTTGCAGTAACGCTGCTCCCCGAGCGCCGCCGCTGGTGCGGTGAGGAAGGAAGGGATTGCGCGCGGGGTGCCGCTTCCGAGTCGCCCGCTGAGCAAGCCCGGAATTGTGGCCCTCCTCTTCGGGGCCCGACGGGCAGGACAAGCGAGATGTTCCACATTGTACCAGAACATGGTAGTGTCACACTCGCAGCGTGTTTCCTTCCCCAGTAACGCTGCTCCCCGAGCGCCGCCGCTGGTGCGGTGAGGAAGGAAGGGATTGCGCGCGGGGTGCCGCTTCCGAGTCGCCCGCTGAGCAAGCCCGGAATTGTGGCCCTCCTCTTCGGGGCCCGACGGGCAGGACAAGCGAGATGTTCCACATTGTACCAGAACATGGTAGTGTCACACTCGCAGCGTGTTTCCTTCCCCCTTGATGTTGGGTGGTGCGGTGAGTGAGTGAGTGAGTGAGCGGACGAGCGATTAGCCCCGCTGTTAGTCTCTTACAGCAGCAGCAAGGGGAAAAAAAAATCTTGTGGTAACTTTAAAGACTAAGATGTTTTAATTTGTATAAGACACTTTCATGGGCTGCAGCCCATTTCATCAAAGGAAAACCTGATGGAGTGGGCTGCGGTCCACAAAAGCTTATGCCAGAACAAACCTGTTAATCTTTCAGGTGTCACAAGACTCTTTGTTGTCCTTATCTATGGTAAATGCTCATTAAGATGTGTGATTGATTATACCGAGCTTGTACATTTTGTTATGACCCACTGAGTGTGTTGTATGCATTTTGTACAGTGCCAGACAACTCTCTCTCTCTCTCTCTCTCTCTCTCTCTCTCTCTCTCTCTTGATTTGTTTTGTTTTTGAGTCTTATGCTGTTGGCAAAAAGATCAGGCAGGCTTACAGAAACGTGGTGGGCTACCATGCCAGCCTAGACTGTGTTTAGCTTGGTGCAAAATGTGAAATGGCCACTCAGTATTAATGGATTGTTGTGCAATTCATTTGTTCATCAGTTTTCATATGTTTTATGTTGAGTTTAATTTTTATTTTTCACCTACGTTCATTGGCTGTCCCCTGGCCTTCCCAAATAAACCACAAGCATTTCCTTTAGGAGACTAGAAAGGTCATAGACTTCCACAGCTCTCTGGAGTAGAGCTGTTTGGAGCAATTGGCTGGGAATGGTACTCAAGTAAATCTGCTCCAGTGGATCTACTCTCGCTGAGCCATGTGGTACTTTAAAGGCTGCCAGGAGTGGCAATTCACACTTTTTTTTTGTTTTACCAGAAGAAGTGGGGGTGGGGGCAAGAGAAAGGTGAGAGTTGCATACATGCCCAGGACTGGAAGCTACCCACCCCAGAGTCAACTGATACATAATAAGAATCCCGTATTCAAACTCAAACCTGTTCTAATATACTAGACCTTCTTAAACACTGTATACTTTATTTCAAATTATTTCCCTTCACCATTTCCACACCACTATAATTATAGAAATCGAAAACTTCTATCTTGTACCTATTTGCCTGGGAATAAGCATCACTGAATGCAGCAGTTCTTACTTCAGAGTAGACATGCAGAGGACTGCACTCCTAGCTGCAAATAAAACCTTCGTTGTTCCATTATTCAGTCATTAAGGCTGCAGTTCTTTGTATATTTAAACTGTGTCGGGGACTTTCTTCTGATGGATAATGCTGTGTGCTATAATGCTATTTCACGACCATTTGCAAAGCTAGATGTGCAGTCCAGACTCCAGTTCTATGCAATTTGACTTCGATGACCTACAGCTGCATTTTCACTCCAGAACTGTCTGCTTCCTTCTTCACAT